GTTCTCACGAACAGCTCAACTTCCCACCAACCAGGCTATCTCGACCATTTTAAACTCTTATAGTAGTGAAAACAGAAATAATATGCATTAGTTAAATCATTCTAATTTGTTTTTTAATCAAGCAATATTGTAAATTCAATACTCAAGAGAAAGAAATTACATTTTACCTTTCACTTTTTTTTAGAAGAAAAAAAAGCAGTGTGCTCTAAATAAAGCAATGAAAATCTTGAGTCGGTACGACATGGCATGGAAGGAGTTTAAGATATTGTTTTGTAGTTTAAAAAAAAGGCAAGGCTGCGATTTTATGAACGCGATGTTTAAGGAAAAGTAAACGCAAGAAAAAAATTCTTTGAAAATGATTACGTAAATGAAGAATAAGCATCCCAATCAACTGATGCCCATAGAATGGACTGAAAGAGTCATTATTCAGTGAGATAAATAAGATTTTCAAATTAAAAAACCAAAACTACAATGTATAAAATCTACCACTAAAATGCACTGGATTTATTACGCTCCTATTAAGAGATATTTCGCTTTTATTTTTGTTTCTAAATACAGTGGTATAGACCATTATTTGTTTATAATGCAGCTGCAGTGATATCAGATTTCCTTGTAGAACTAAATTTCTAATCAGGTGCTTAAATGTAAATACAAGTCTCAAAATAATGCAATCACCTTCACCGAATTACTAGATTAAATCACTACTTTGCACATGACATCAAACACATACTTATTCATGGTATAGTTTTTTTCCAGCATTTTTGTTATAAAAGAACATTCTACACGAGGTAGGTACTCTAATGGAAAAGGCAACAAATATCAAAACTGAAGCTTATTTTCCAAATATAAAAGCCGACTAAAGCAGACATTCTAAAGACTGATCAATGGAGATACATATTTATGTTGTAAGGAATTCTCAGTTAAGCCGGAATTCAGAAAATATTTTAAGTCATTGTTTAATTTAAAATATTTTGAGTTCTGAACAAGCAGAAGAGGTTATCTACATTTTAACCCTAAAAAAATTAACGCAATTTACTTATGAAGTAAAGGTAAATTAGGTCCCCGATCCCCCCAAATATGGGTATGCGGGAAAAATTTTCATCTTGTCGCCGTGACAGTTTCCCGCACAGCCGGAGGTGGACAAAGAGTAAGTAAGGTTGAACTCCGACCCACCCCAGGGGGGTATACGGAGATAAAAGTAAAATTATTACAATAAAATTTCTCTAAAAANACCCCAGGTGACTCTAGCAATCCTCTTTAATTTGTGATTGAACTTTTGTACACGATCCTTAACGTGGACAAAGAGTATCTGCCACACGCACTGGCCGAGAGGCCCGGCGAAGCCCCTCCGTGGCATTTATTTAAAAACAGGAAAAAAAATAGTACTATTTTGGCAACAGCCCGGAGGTTATCGGGCAAAAATACAAAAGTAACAAGTTCCCCTCTAGAATTAAACGTTTTATATGTATAGTTGTGATTATTCCGACTATTAACTATGAGGTGAAATTAAACATCTAAAGATTGATGTTTACAATAAAATTTATGAAAAAATCAAGAAAAATTTTTTTCTCCCCTTTTTTAAGTTAAAGTTTAAAATTTGTCCAATTGACCCTTATAAAAATTGAAATCCAATAAATTTAACGATATCAACCATGTGAGACCCAGAATTTACCATGTGAGAGCTGTCAAAGTATAATTACTTATGAAGTAAAAGAAAACCATTGCTCGTCAAGGTGGTCACGGAGGTTAAGGCTCCATAATTTTGAGACTAATAATATGATAATAGAAAGGTGGTCAGCATTGCACGCAGGCGGCCTACACTTCTCAGGCAAAATAGCTCCAATCCATCCTAAATTGCATAGTCTTCAAGTCATCAACGGGGCTAGAACCCCGTGGCTTAACTACTGCACTTAATAATAAAATTTTCACACCATTACTATTTACTATTACTAATTATTCTACAAATCAAAAATTAAATCGGAATTAAAAAATCAAAATTGTTGATGAATTTGCAACGGATTAGGTTTAAATTTTATCCCAGCATAATAGGAAACTTATATGGGAAATTTGAATAGTTTTTCATTCAGGTGTAGCAACCTGTTTAATATCAAAATAAATAAATAAACAAAAGCGTAGGATTGGAGAGCGAAACGAGGCAGTGGACAGAACATCATAATATCCTTATACAGAAAAATGATAGTTAAAAAACAATTATGTTGACAAATATGGAAAGTTAACTACTTGAAAACAGTTAAATCATAAGTTTGACCGTTTCACTGATGGTATGGAATTTTATTTTTAAATTACCATTTAAATCACATACAAAAAGAACAATTTTAGTATAAAACTTTTATTGCAAAAATACTTCATTTAGGCAAAGTGTTTACATTATAAACACTTTTTATTTTGAAATACCAATATTTAAAGAAAAATAGCATGTTATCGTATTGTCCATCATAGTTCATACCAGGATACTTCAAACTATGGAAATCTACCAGAAAGTAATAAACGGCTTCAACAGTAGCCAAAAAAGTGTCAGGTTTTCCTCGTTGTGGACGCCAGAATAAAGATTTTTTTGAATTTAGCACAACACATTGTAAGTCTGTAAAAGAAAAGAAAAATAGCATTAAAAAAGTTTTTGAAATGTTTGAAAATAATGAAGAATAATATACAAAACAAACAATAATACAAATTTAAAAATGTTAGAGCGACATTTTCAGGTCAGTATAAAAATTTCAAGCAATATTTCATGTTCATTTCATGACATTGGTTTAATACTACAAGAAGCGATAGGAATGTTCGTTGAATGGTTTAACAAGAATGAATGGTTAAATGTCGCACAAGAGCCAAACTAATGAATTTGATTAATTCTGGAAACTATGATACCATTTTTGGAGACTATGATATGCTTTGCATTCAATGACATCACCTTCGGGTTTCCGCAACTTTTGTTTACCTTTATGTTATTGGCTCTTGGTTTATTTAAGTATATATTCATTTATTTGGAAATCGCCAAAAATGAGAGGAGCCTCCGATTATAAACTATTATCTCAAGAATTACAAAATTGCGAGTTCGGAAAGTGTAATACGTGATTCGGCAGATATAATGGGGATAAATCAAACAATTTCATTGAATAGTCTAAGTCGACTGAATATTAAATTACAAAATGATGGAAAACCAATAATTAAAGGACAAATAATTAGGGATAATTTGAAATTATTTGTAAAATTAAGTGAAGTCTATGAATACAACAATCGTCTATGAATACAATAAACAAACGCAGACTTATCGAAATTTGTCAAATGAAAGTACTAACATGTCAGGAAATAAAGCTATTACAGTAATTTACGGTAAGAAAACTGAATAAAAAAATGCTTTTCATCTAAATTATAATCACAAATATTTTCTGTGAATGTCATTATGTAGATAAACCATGTAATTTTCAATACATTTTTCAGAACACTAAATCGTACTAAGTAGTGTTCCATAAACATAAGTAAAAATAAACTTCAAATAGCCTCCTCATATTTGGTACTTCTCGTGTCTTATCAAAAATTGGCTTATACTAAACTATCCTCTCTAATATTAGCAAGGTAGTCTACTAAGACATTTTAAGCACAATATCGCGGCTTAGACAATTTTAACTTAAATTTTTCTTGTTTTTACACGCTTCCCTATAAAAATTAGCTGATGCGCAAACTGATTCCTTTTCCAAGTAGTTTGAGCAGACTACCTGGGGATTTTACACAGATCTCCATATTTCACTGGATGGCCGATTCAATGTTTCGAGCTCGAACATTACCTCCTAGATCAGAAAGCCTCCACACGTTTTTTTAATAAGTAGTCTGCGCAGACTATTTAAAAAGTGAACCAGTTGTGCGCAGGAATCCAAATTCTCTTCTAATATTAATTGAGAGAAGTTTATCATATATATTTTAGAATTGAATCGGTAGTGGTAGACAAGTAAATAAGACAAACCAATTATATTCAAAAACTAAGTAAATTTTTTGATATATATTTGCTACCACTATCGAACTTTTACTAGATTTTGTTTTAAATGCTTCGTTCGTTAACTTGTTTACCCTCATAGTGGTCTGACCGGACTACCTACAAAAAACCGTGTGGAGGCTTTAAGTTATAGGAGGCGTTGGCTTGAAGCCCACGTTGGCGAAGTACCGAGATGCGTAACTGCAAATTGTATAAATTTAGAACGCACTTGGCGGACTAATCTGCAGCCAAAACTCGCTGTATAGCGAGTTTTGGCTGCAGATTATTTGGCAAAGATATTGTTCCGTGCAAGCTCAATAGCCTTTAAAACAAAACAATTTCTTCACTAAATGATAATTAATTTATGTAATTTAGTTTTATCACAAACTAAAGGTTCGCTAAACTATAGATTTCTATTCAAGAGATTTAAGAATACGTGATATAATCAACAAAACTAGAATGTGCACGATGACATGAGATTTAAGCGAGTAAGTTTATTTATATTTACTTTTAATATCAAAGCGAAAAAGACTATTTGCATCAGTTTCTTTTAACTTAGTTTTTATTATTAGTATTGGATGTTTTGCTTAAATTATTACTTTTACAAAATGCATTTATCTATATAATTATCAAAACTGGCACTCTATTTAATCTTTTATGCAAAAATTGTTCTACGCTCGCTATAAAAAGAAATAGCATGAAAATAAAGTAGAAATCTATCTTCGTTGATGCTTCAGACAAGAACTCATGGACAATATAATAGAAGTCAACAAATGCGACATACGATGCAGCATTTTATGAGCATGCAATGTTTCATGAATGTATCAACTAAATTGTGTGCGTCGCCATTGTAAAAAAACTCTTTTTTTTCTCATTTTGCTTTTAAAAAACATGGAATTTCTTATTGGAAAACCACTTTAATCTAAGCACTTCATCCACTACAACTAACCACGTGCAACTAGAATAACACGTGCTTCATCCACGCGCAGCTAGAATAAATTAACAAGAGGACTCAAGAAATAAAAAACTTTATTGCTAGTACAAAAGCAGATCTATTTCGTTAACACTGTCGAATTTTGATAAGCTTTCAATTTTAAAGGATCGTACAAAGTTCTGATTTTATAGTACATAAACTTAAAGAAAAATAGCATGTTATCATATTGTCCATGATAAGGCACATCCGGTTGCAATAGATTGTGCAGTTCCACAATAAAGTAGTAAATAGCTTCAATGGTAGATAGGTGAGTTTCTTTCTTTTCGCGATAGTATCGCCAAAACAAGGATTTATGATCATCGAGAAATACTGAACGGAGTTCTGAAATAGAAAACTATTTTTAGATAACCAATTTTATTCGTAAAAATAATAAATTTAGTGAGTAATTAATTAAATGAGAATTGAAAATTTAGTCATATATTTTTTCTAAAACATAAAATAATAAAAGTGTAATAAAATCGATCACTGTGATAAAAGGTTTTATATGTAATAGTTTTCAAAAGGTTTTTAATCGTGTGTGATTTCGTAAAATAAAATTGTCGAGTAAGAATTTTTTAATATTTATAAGAAACAGATAAAGGGCTTATAGATAACAAATGGCTTTTGAAACATTTTTTTTAAAAAAAAGCGAGATGATTACGAAAATTTAAAATCTATATGCACAAAACACACCTTGTTTTTCTTCACTCTTAGGCTTTGTTTGTTTCTTTCGTTTCTCCATCAAGTCTACTAACGTGACAAGAGAAAGCAGCATTCGACAAAGCGTTCTAATAAGTTACTAGAGAGAAAGACTAAATAACTAGAGAGAAAAGTAGTTCCAAAACTATCGATATTAAAAGCCTAAAAACCAAACAACTTGAATATAGCACAAACTATAGCAGAAAAAAAGACATACTATAGTTTCGTCTTTAAAAATAAGAACCTTTTTAGAGTCAAAATACAGAACGACTGAGGAAAACACAATACTAACAAGTTGAAAAGAGTAATTTAACCAATAGGGGTAGAGGAACAAGCTTAAACAAGATAATAGAATAAAGGAAAGGCGATAAGAAACATTATGTGGTGGAGGAAATAGGGAGAGAACCTCAAATGTGCAAGATTAAGAAATTAAATTAAAATAGATTTCCAAGCTTTAAGAAAGGATGGGATATTAAATAAATAATTAGCAGGGGTAGCAGCAAAGTTTTTTTTAAAATTGTAGGATAATTTTAGGAGCTTTTTAAAAAAAATTTTTAGGTAAATTTTAGGGGTAATATATGATTTTGCTAGGATAAAAACAGATCACACGGTAGTTTATTACATAACAGAAGATTATTACAATTCATCCACACATATCATAAATAATTGCAAGCCATAAAATAAAGCTCTGAAATTTATTAAGTCAAGAATGAAATCTCTAAAGTGTAAAAATGAAATTTCAACTTTACATATTACCTATCAGAAATTAAGTGCATAATTCAGGAACAGGCAAAAGTGAGAATAAATCAAGAGAAAAAATAAATTAACACCAACTTGGATTTTTATTTAATTTTTACCTTCTTAATCAAAACTTTATTATTACCCTTTACCTTACTTTATTAAGAAAAACTATTGTGTGATATTATTNGGGTTCGTACATAGTCTTAGGAATTTTATAAATTTAAGGGGGAATGCGACCCCTGAATTAGGTTATTAAGTTTCAAAATATGAAATGATTCTCAGAAGTCAAGATCAGTTGTTGAAGAGCCGATTCTCGAATTGTTCGAACTGTGAGTGATTTCCAAACGTTAAAAAAATTTAGAGATTGAAAACGTTAGAATAGTCACAGAAAATTAAGAATTTATACTAAAATTTTTTGCTTTTTTTTAAAGAAAAAAAATCTTACTTGCGAAATTGAGATAATGATGTTCTTTTGGGATATCACTTTTTCAAATGTATTGTGTCCTTCAAAATGTTCAAATTCTCACGATTTGACTTAATTTATTTCAATATTGCCACATTGTTTCGCATAAAATAATTATACATGTAATACATGTATCTACAACAGAAACTACAATCAATTAGAATTCTATTATAAAATAATATTTAAGAGCTCTAACATTAGATTGCATTAAGCAAGTTTATTTTTAAATATACTTTTTTTCTTCATAAATTTGTTGTAAATATGAAAATTCTGGAAACATTTTTGCGGATCAAAATACCATCTGATATAGCCTACGAAATTCAAGAAAAATTCTAAAAACTAAAGAATAAAAATTTCAAGTTAACCATAAAAATAAATCAATAAGCAATTTATTTAATCTTAACTAATACCTTTTTAATGAAATTTATCTTAAAAAATATTCTGTAAGCAAGAAAAAAATAATTTTAATTCCTTAGCTTGTAGAGATAGATCAAGTGAAAAAAAAAGTTTAAGAATTCTTTGCCGAAACAATTATTGTGATTAACTATATAAGGAAAGCGAAATTTCGGAAATCGTATAGCAATAAAGCGAAGCTAAATAGTCACCGCGATTATCATTACCGTTAAGTAAGCTCATCATGGCTTTTCCAATGAAATGGTAAGTTACAGCATCCTTAAGAAAGTATTAACTTAGTATCTAAGAATAAAACAAAGATTTGATACAATCATAGATGCAATGGTATCCTTAGGGAATTTCATTAGGAATTTCTGGATTCTGTTCGAGTAATTCAGGGATTGTTAATTCCAGGGATAATCAATTTATGTTAATCATCATTTGTTTAGCTACAAAAACATATTTCAATAACTATAAATTAACTGAGCTAGAATTGTAGATAAAGAAAGGTAATATAAAATATAAAAACGTAAAATGCAATTGATGGAATAAAAAAGATAACGATTTTCATAGAAAGAATAAGATGTTTTTGTGGATTACCCTGCCATCTAGTTGAAATGTAGTAAAATTATTAAGTACCTATCTTGAAACAATACAAAGGAATAGTTTAATATAAGTACAACAACATTCTTATTGGACAAGCAGATCAGTTATCTAGCTATCTGTACACGTTATCTGTAAATTACGCAATACGTAAATTACGTTGCATTTAGTGAATTCCAGCTGTAAATGAAAAACAGTTAGCACAACAAAATCAACGTTATTTTTGACTATAACTAAAAATATTACACATTTTTTCAATAATTAATATTAAGAATTTTACACTCTTTTTAGCTAATCATTAAAAATGTCAAACCTATGAATTTTCAGTTTAACTTTTATTTAAATTCAAATTAAAAAAAATGGTAACGGAAGGTCATTTTTTCGACATGATTATCATGATTTTCATAAAAATTTAGCCAAGCTAAAAAAGGAAAAACTTTGGAAAAATAAGAATACATAAAGAAGACAACATTATTATAATTTGACCAGTATTTCTGAAAAATAACATACATACAAACATAGAAAACAAACATAGAAATGAGGTACTTGTTAATGGTAACGGAAGGACAAAAAGTTCAAAATGACAAAAAGTAACAAAATAGAGATTTTCAGCATCCTCAAGAAAGCAGATCAGCAGATTCAAGAAATTCATTTACTCCTGAAGAAAATGATGCATGACAAGTGTCCAAATATTAATTTTAAAAATTTAAGAGATGTCTCCCTTTTTCCAAAATTCACCAATACAAATACAAACACTTGATTTTGCCTAATTCGAGTGTGGGGATTTCAAATCTGAAATTATTTTTGCACCTAAAGCAACAGATGAATTTTTAGTCTATTTTTTGTCGAAATGTACAAGTTAGTTTAAAAGCTCCCCAGCACAAACAGTGCTTAAGGCGTGATAGCGGGCCCATATCAGATTGCCGAGAATGTTGTGACAAACTTCTAGGAGAGTTAGGGCATATCATCAGGATTAAACATGAATAAACTCTAGCCCATAAAATACATGCGGCTAGAGACTTTACCTCTTATGACCAGTTCAGAAGCATACGAAATAACAGTTTAATATAGAGGAAACGTCCCTAGCGGCGTATGATGATATTTTCGAACATGGGATTTTATTCAATTTTAATTCTGATGACGTAACTCTCCTAGAAGTTTGTCGCAACATTTAAGCTACCCTATGTTACATACATCGCTTTTAATTGTACATTTAAAGGATTACTTTCATATTAGACTATAATTTCTATAACATGTCAACGCGGCATTTAATTTTAAATATTTTCAAAAAATTTTTTTTTAACCCAAACTAGTATTATGTGAAGAACATAAGGGTTATTTTTGTTTTAGACTATATGCAAACAAACAATAACACTAAAAGCTTTTTAAGAATCAATAAGAATCTAAAGCATGCATAAGAAATTTTAACCAATTTCGAGAAGTGATTTTTCAGCATCGAAAAAGAGAGCAGCAAAATAAAGATTTATATCAATCAATAAAATTAATTTGAAATTTTTTAATTCTTACATAATTAACAGATCTAAAAGAGAAATTATAGAACAAGTTTTTAACAATAGAAATAATACCCAGCAAACTTTTGAAAAAGTGGTATGATTTAAAATAGTAACTTGGTAAAATTAATTGAAATAGATTTTTTGTTAGAAAAAATCTATTATAATATATTCTGATGAATAGAAACTTAAATGCAATTAACTTAATACAATTTAGAAAGAAGAACTTATACAATTTATTGTAAGGACGTTAAAATTTACTGTAATGCTGAAAATCGAACCTTGAACCATAATAGGATGAAAATTTGCTGTTTTTGCTGAAAATAAAAAATTTAAACTGAATGATGTTAATCATAAGCCATAGTCAAATGTAATCGATTTTACAATGTGCGATAACAGATATTTTGCATGGCGGTTTGTCTTACGTTCTCATTTCTATTTAATTAACACAGAATTTTTAGAAAAGATACATTTCATGCTTTTTTCTCACATTTATGCCAAAATTATTTATGCCAAAATTACTAACTAAAATATATTATATTTAGCTTTCAAATAATTTATGGTTATGAAATACTGAAAATACGTGTCTTTTTCTGCGTAAAAGGTAAGATCTTCCAAACAAAAATTTGCACTTTTCTGCATTATTTTTTCAGATGAATAATTTTAGGTTTTTTTGAAAGGCTTACAATAAACTTTCATTACATTAAACTCAATTCATTGCATTTACATTAACCTTTCTTTAAAAATTCAGTGTTAAAATTAAAATTTGATAGAGCAGTTTTATAATTAACGTATTTGTTAAAGTGTCAGTAATTAGTACTTATTAACTTATTCTAAGTTTAGTTAATAGCTTAAACGATTTTACCAATTATAATAAATCACTAACATATGTTAACATAGATAGTTTTGTTAAGATATTTATAATCTCATCA